AATGTGAAGGGGGGGGGGGGGGGAAGGGGGGAGTGTCAGCATCCAATAAACTCTATGTACCACCAACGGAAAATTCAATTTAAATTTACTGAACAAACATAGAATCCGTTTAAAAAGCAATTCTTTCTTCCAGCTCAACAAACAGGAAGAGCTAACATGTGAGATTCAAAACAGACTACGACTATCTCCTTTAACTCTTCATCACTGTTTCCAGCTCAGGGAAATGCTCTATGAAACAAATGAAATTGGTTGAAGTATGGTTTGAGGAATACATTATGAGATATGAACATGACACCCACTTCTGGTAGATGTTATGAGCCTCAGATGAAACAGACCTATAGTCCAGTCACACATATAAAGCCTGTGCATTTTTTCCGAGGGAACTTTTTTATTTTTGAAATTCATAACTGAGGTGCTAAGACAGAAATTTAGCCTGGGGGTCACTTTTCTAATTGGCACATTCAATGTTTAAAGTGCACAGTTATGAATCAGATATGGCTAAGTATTTTCTGTCTTATATCACTGATATTGAAATCCTCTTTTAACATTACCACTGTCTGAGGAGTGGAATGAATTTCGAAGAGTACTTATTGACTTGCCATAGAATGCTTCCCCTGTTAGCAGCTAACGGAAATGTCAACTATCTAAAATACCTGTCCTTGTATTACTGGCAAATGACAACATTGAAAGAAGATGTAATGGTGCACCTGGCTATGTTTTCATTTTCATTGACTAGAAAGACTTACAGCAAATTGCCTCCACACTATGTCATTTCAATGACCATGAACAAAGAATCCAAGAACAGAAGAAGTAGGGGCTGGATTGGATTTACCAAGAATCTATCCATGGTTGCAACCAACATACTCAGTAAACCAGTTATTATGTGGTTAAGAAAACAACTAAAACAGGTGGCTCATTTCAAGCAACCCTTGTATCACCATCCAGAACTGGATCCATCAAGAATGGAGATGGACTCTGTTAACCCCAGCTGCAATATCCCGGATGGAGAACAGTGAACTCTTGAACTTATGGGCCCATTGACCTACATAGGACTGACAAGCATGCGCAATCAGCCTGTATTGTATAAGTTGACTTTGGAGGGAACATGTTTCCAATGTAAAGTGTGGCATGAAATACTTACCTTAGGTAACAACCCAATAGATTGGTCAATAATGTGATGGACAGATGAATGACGGAAGGGTCTGTCTAATAACTGGTTCTGGCATATGATTGACAGGTGGCATGAGGTGGACATTATACAACCTGTCAGGTTGGAGAGCTACTGAGGAAGTGATTGAGCCTGTGTGCGCCGTGAGCCTGTATGGTGGCTGGGTGCTTGCCTAGGAGAGTGACTGAGTTAGTGTCAGTGCGCATTGCGTCCAATTGGGACTGAAAGCATGTGAGAAACTGAGTCTCTTGATGAGCATGTGGTGTGACACCTGCTCATATGTGATTAGCAGGAGAGGTGCTTGAGTGGAGTGTGACGAGTGGAGTGTGTAACTGAACTCCATCCATTTGTAAAGGTATACACTCATAGACAGAGCCATCCTCTACTCATCTATATTCTCCTGCATGCCTTTGGATGGTAAAGTATCACCCATCCCTTTGGAGGTATTGAGTAGTCACTGCAAATGAAGAAAAGATAGAAATCCTCTAGGGAATAGGCACTCTGTGACAAGCCGACAGGCCTGTCAGCTTCAGAGTGATCTTGCCAGCCACCACTGGTGACAGGCCTGCATTGATTCTTTCTTATATCTATTATAGTATATAATGTTTTCTTAACTCTCTATTGACTGGTTCATTGTTGTAATTTGGATTTATTATTGTTGTATTTTATCCTTACCTTGATAATATATTCTTGTTAACCTTTGGCTTAGTGTTAAGTTTTCACTGATAGTGGTATACTTCTCGATGGGGCCAGGCTGCAGGCCAACGTCCAGGGGAATTACCCCTTTCGTTGTCCCAAATCATACAGAACCCTGGTGAGGTTGAAGATCTAACAAACCTTTGTGCACGTAACAGGTCTCCTTATCAGGAGTTTGGTGTTCCACTGAAAATTCGTTGATGCTGTAAAGACAGCTGTGGAAGAATGGGACACAAACCAATGGGATCTGAATCAACCAACTCTTCATTCCTTTTGCTCTGGAGAGCCAGCGACAGAAGAGGTAAGGAAGAGTCTCCACACATCTCATGCTGAAGGTAATGTGATGGCAGAAACATTCTGGAGAGATTTTCTTCTGGAGCTAAGTCAATACATGACACTTATCACAAGGAAAAGCAAGACCTTTGTCACAAAGACAACTGCAAATAAGATCAAGCAAGAGTGTAGGAAAACAGTTGAACACACCACAGTGAAACAAATCATTGACCTTCTCACCAACAGAAGAGACTACCATGACTTTAAAGAAATCAGTCAATACAGAATTACTTCTGTGAGCCTTTTGCTCTTCTTAGCAGATGAGATATTCCACAAACCTGTCAAATCAAAGTTCATAACATTGATGAGCCTCCAACTGATCTCACCACCATCACATTATCATGCATTAATAGATGTTGGAATGATACTGAATAAAGTACCACCAAGTGCCCTCAGTCTCTTCAAGTATGTCACTGGCCGACAACCACAGCGGCATTTCACTTCAATAATGGTGTTTACGATGAAGAACTGTTGAAGACTAGTACAAAACAGAATGAGCAGCAACATCACTCAAACCCATTGTTGTTCCCAACGTCTACCCTGTTTCTGACCAGCAAATGCCTACTGGAACATCCTAGCACTCATTTCTATCAAAGCTTTTTAACAAAATGAGACTACAATATTTCCTCTTGAATGAATGGCATTCTTACTTCCACCACAGTGGCCTGTACTTCACAATGAATCTTGTCTGCTATGATTTAAAATCCAGAGAACAATGGTGTGCACTTTGTATTGAAATCTCCATGTGAGGCTGACACAAGGGTGCTCTTCCATGCAGCTCAAATGTTGCTTCCTACACCAGTCATGTGACTGAGCAAGATATGTCCATGTACAAGAAGAAACCAGAAGACACACCATCATACTACTACAGCTGTTT